GGAAGGGCCCTATTTGGTATCAAGGTTCCTACTAAAGGGAGCTTATGAACTGGAGGACTTGGGCAAAAGGCCTTTGCCCCACTCCTAGAATGCTGAACACATAAGGAAATATTATCATTAAGCATGAAAAGCCCTTTGTAACTTGTGAACCTACTGTGGTATCGATTGTATTAATAAAAGAGGCTAATTAATTTAAATATCATGAGCGCAACTGAACTGATGAAGATGTCCCATAAAGGAATTCTTCAAAGTCCTGCTCTTGCGTAGGCTGAGCTAAGGTCGTAGTACGACACTTAGACAAAATTCTTTAAAGCCCTGTTCTTGTGCAGGCTGAGCTAAAGTCGTAAGTTCTACGACACTTTGACGAAATTTCTCTTTAAGAAATCTTTCAAAGCCCTGCCTCGTACGTAAGCTTAACTCCTCAAGGAAAGCTGCATCAAAGTCCGGATGTTCTTTGCGAACATGCTTGACGAGCTTCTCTAAGGCCACAACATAAGCGTCTTGAGCTAAGGCGTCAAACTCGGGGGACTCCTTCCAAGTCTCCACAGCTTTGATGGCCTTAGCCTCTGCATCCTCAGCCCTCTAAATCACAACCTTGGCCCTCTCATTCGCCTCCCTACCTTCTGGCATCAAGCTCGATCGTTGTAGGTCGAGGCACCGTTCTGGCATCCTGCTCGAGCTAGCAGTGGTGGCAACATGTGTGATTGGCGGAGATAAGGATGTGAATGGGGATACTTCAGTCGGAGGGGCTGCAGAAAGGGAATTCAGCTTCTTCAAGTGGACAGCTTTATGGCTTATGGCTGAAGCTAGCGCCCCAGATCGATTCCTTTTTAAAGAAGGAACCTCTTGCGCTTCTTTCAAGTGGGCCTCAGCTCAAACTGGTGCCTCTCTTTTCTTTGTTTTTGCTACAGCGACTACCTTGGTTACTTTGTACCCCAACATCTCTGGATTCTGAGCTGAAAAGCACAAGTCGATACGACATTTAGTATTCCTATAAGGAATTGACCTTCAAGAAAACTAGTCTAACCCTCACTTGAATCGACTGGGGTATAGGTAGATGCTCTCACCACGGATGGACCTAGGATCCTCATAAGAATTAAACCCGCTTGGAAGAGATTGGGAATCGAGATAATGTATTTACAAGACGTCTATTTCTTCAGCAAGGCCCTAATTCCCTTAGCTTGACTTTAGGTGTCCTTAGTTAAAGTCACTTTCTTATAATCTGCAAAACAAAGAAAAACTTAGTATTACTCCATCAATTACCTCGGTCTAAACATCAAAAGACAATTACTTACATAAAGAATGGTAGAGGATGGCAACGACATCATCCCGATTCACTTCGGCAAGGTAAAATTGCTACTCCCCAGACACATAAAAGAATTCCTACTTCCACTTCTTGATGGAAGATGGGGTATCCAGCACTAAAGAACCACCTGTCCTTGGCCTAACGCTGGTATACCACTAGCTAGAGTTCTTCTCATTCTCTTTGAATGTGAAAAGGGAGTTAAATTGTTCTACACTCAACTCAGGATTTCCTAACCTATTCCATAGAATCAAGGTGGCAATTAGGGTTTGCCTCCCGTTGGAGCATAGTTGAGTAGGAGCTATTCCCCAGAAGGAGAGGAACTTGTGAACGACTCTAGAAAAGGGCAATCTAAGCCCAGTATGCAAGATAGCTAAATTTAGAGCGACGCATCCCATGTGGGAAGAGTTAGCTCGATTAGATTACTCAGGGATTATCATTATCACCAAGTTCAGAATAACGTATTTAGCCCTCCGACTCGCTAACATATCTCCCGTGACAACTGATCTATATGAGCTCACCGTCCACTCCTCTGAGCTCTTTCCCTCACTACCCTCATGAGACCCAACCTCCTCTCTCTTCGATTCCATATTCACAAGATGACCTAAATCAAAAGGGTTAACAATCGAGAGAGATACGAGAGTTAAGATTTCCTGACAACTAGATGAAGAACTAGAATTGAGAGGTATGGACTCTTTTTGTTGGTTTCCCCAGGAGTGCACCCTGGACTCATTGGAGCTCATGAAAAAGTCGAACAGAAAGTATGAAGAGAGAAAGATGAGTAGAAGAAGTAGAGGAATATCTGAGAACTGGGATCCGACGACCTCACTTAAAAGAAGGAAAAAACGCTCTCAAAAAAAGAATTACGCTCTCGGCCTTGAAGAGAGTTACAGCACAAAGTAGAATGTAAAAATGAGAGATTAAATGGACTTAAAAAGAAGGAAGACCAAGGGACTTGATCCAAGCTGCTCAGCAAATAAATGGAGGGAAAATCGACGGTTCAGATCCTAAGATTTCAAAACGGCGCCATTTTAGTGCAAAGCTTCTCAAGGAAGCTACCATAAAAGCGCTACAGCTCATCCCAATAGAAATGTGACACCTGGTGCTACAATAACGATACCTTTTAGAGGTTAGTCATCCTATAAAGCATAACTGACCTGGGGGTATCTGTTGACCATCGACCTCCGGTCTCATAATCATAGCTCGCAGCCCCACCTCGTATACATGTGAGATCGGCCATGGAAGATGAGCTCGGTCATACTGCTGTCGTAATCTCAAAATACATAATGATTGCAGATTCTTTATATCCTGTCACATCACCTCTTCAATCATACACACTTGTAGAAGGCACCGCCTATATCCACCAATCAGCCACATTGGCTTCCCTATCCTTTGCAGTCCATCATTACCTGAAGGGAATAGTGACGTGATGGCTACCGGCCTCATGAACTAATTAAGGGAAAAGGTCGGAGGCTGGTGGTCTGAGCTCAGCACAAGTGGCTGATTTGATTGAAATGACATCATTTTGGCCAAGCCCCTTATAAATGGTTAGAAATGTTCCCCTTTAAAGATAGGCTAAGCCTTCCATGCACACACATTGTATAATTGAGCTCTCCATTTTCAATAAAAGGGCCATTTTTCTTAAAGTTGGCTCAAGAATAGTCTATACAATTTTTGACGTCAACACGTCATATTCTGTTGCCTGTATCATCACACATGCAATACGCGTAATAAGTTCTAAAGATACTTAATAGCAAGATACATTAATTGACCTACAAGATTATCCAAATCTCAATCATAAATAACAATTCATTGACATCATATTTGGTAGATTTATGGAAAGACAAAAATTCTGAAAATAAAAATGGAGTAAATAGTAAAGACGTTCCCATTTAAAATGCGTATCTCGAAAAATATATAGACATAATGAATAGTAAAATTCCATTAGAGATTGAGGTACCTAAAATCTTGAAAATAAAAAATTATCAATTATTACGTCGTAATGCACAAAATAAATAGAATTGAAAAAAAAATTTAAAGAAAATACTTCGTAAATGATGTAGCACTTTGTATTTGAATGATTACGATGATATATAAGAAAATTCATCAGTCGTTAGATGTAAAAATTATTAGCTATATAAAATGACATAGTCCAGGCAAAATTGAATTTACTATAAAAACATGAAGTTTTGACCGACAATACTAATATCTTAAAGCATAAAGCCAGCAGTACTTATTCAAAAGGAAATAAGAATATAATGATTTTTACAATGACTTTTTGAAATAGATTAACTCTCCATTGGTGGATTCAATAGTAAGTCGAAATCTTGTTAGCATGGCAATGTATGAAATGTGATATGCATCTTGAACATGTGGTTATAACCTACTCATAATGTAATTTAATTAATTAATTTATTTATTTATTTTTAATTTGGATTTTCCTAATAATATTTTTAATGAGACTACTTTTATAGCCTTATCAAAAGGTAAATGTGCTCTTTCTCTTTCACTATGATTTTTTTCTACAAGATTTTTATTGTAATATTTTAACTGACATACTCTTTGTATGATGGACACCCAAAATAGAGCGTATAAACATCATAGTTATGAATCATAAGGGGATCAGCCTTACTCTTCATCTTTCATTCACATTTTGTCTAATTGTATTTTGGTGACAAGATTTTAAAAAGACAATATTTAATTACTGATACGTGCTAAAATAATTATTGTCCACATGGGCTCTATGTCAACTATAGAAGCTCCCATTGCAGTCCACGCCACCAAGCACTAGCACTTGGGCCACCAAAGTGAAACAAACCAAACTCATGCCTTGGTCATCAAGGTTTTCCTTAGGAAGGGGACGTAGACCCGAAAACACTTGACAAATGAACATTTAGAGGCATCACCCACACCATGAGATTACAGGATTAATTGGAAGCCTCGGACATAGAAGCATTTTAGTGACAATACCCCGACGCCATCAACATAATTGTCAATACTATAAATCAAGGTGTGCACTTAATGAAATGCATGACAAATGTCACTAAAACACAATGAAAATATTTGAACTTGGACTTAATTATGACTTTCAACATAATGATAATACAATGTCGACCCATAAAAATGACCATAAAGCTCCCAAAACTTGTCCATAAATAGTCATTTACACAAATGAAAAATTGTTAAAAAGAAGAGGAGTTGAGAGAAGTCTTAAAGATTGAAATAGTTAAAATCCATTTTTCACTCTAAAAAACTACCTCGAATTAAGGCAAAACTAGGGGTTAGCACTCTAAAAAATCTTCACATTCTTTAATTGAATTGCTTTTTCCGCCAACATAATACTAGAAACCCTACATCTTTTCTTTCTCAACAAATAGTTAATGAAAAACACTTAATCCGTTTAATCTTCCGCCAACATAGTTCTTATGTGCTGCTAATGTAGCGGTTTATCGAGCATTTGACTTGGTGAAAAATGTTGGCCCAAGAAAACTATCATCAACAGATTGGGGAGAGAAGAAGGCGACAAGCTAAAATGACATTGATAAGATAATGCATTACAACTCACACAAAGTAAGAATAGGCAGGAGATAAAAGGAAAATAGCATATCAAACACTGACACGAACACGTACACACATGAAGACATGACTAAGCCATCATTCTATATGGTCATAGCCCGTTATGTTCTGACCCTGATGTTTATTTCTTGCTGGTTTCTTCATCTGGTCCGGCAATTCTTCCATCAAAGAACTTTGGTTTGAATCGTTCTGTTCGAACTCGAGCACCTTTGCTTAAACCAAGAAGAGACTTGGGAGCCTTAAAAGCCGCATCGATGGCATTCTTATAAGCCTCCTTTCCGGCAGTTACCATTTCCTTCTTGGTTTTTTGCAGTATTTGTGATGTTTCACAGGCAATATCTCCGACATCAGCAAACCTATTTATCCATGCCGGAAGCTTTGGCACTCCCAGCCTCTGCAACAACACATTGCAGAAATGGTTACCGTTTTTCGCCAGCAGATCGAACTTATTTCCCGGCCACTCCTGGCTAAGTTCTTTTAGGATCTGACTCACCTTGCCAGAGGAGCAACTTGTTCTTCCGAGAACTATCCTTTCACGGTATGTATACATCGTGTTTTCGCCGGCGGGACAGGTGTAAACACTAGAGCCTTCGTCGCAAAGCCGATATCCCCATTCCTCGTGGCCGTAAACCTGGACAGCCGCATGAAAGACGCCGCCGATAGAAAGGCCCTGTTTACAGGCGTTGTTGAGTTGAACGATGGCGAAATTTAGGGTTTCATTGCCGGAATTATTATTTTTAACGTCATATACGTGAAGGATCACTTCTGCCATCTTAAATATGTTCAAAACTCTCTCTCACCCACTCTCTCTCTACGTGACAACTAGTGTTTCAAGCGAACTGTAAGTCTTGAAGCACCAGCAGGTCTTGGGTAGGGTTTTTATGGTACATGATCATCAAGGGCAAAAAGGAGAAGTGAAGTGTGAAAAGCCAAAGCGAGGAAATAACACAACACTTTCTCGCATCTTTCGTGGCTCTTTCATGTTGAAAATGCATAAACGTGTGCATTTATTGAAAAATAATAATTTGTTAACTCAGATGCGTGTTTGGATTTCATTATAAATTGTTAGAATTAAAATGAAATAGAAAATGAATAGTAATTGCAAGTCCTATGAAATGTGGTTTTAAAATTTGACTTTGATCTTTAAATTATAACGAGATTATAATTTATGGCTAGCAATTAAACTTATGATTCATAGTGTAGATAGGTATGGGACTTAATAGGATGGAGCCAAAAAAAAAACTATTTTAGTGGAAAAGAATTGATAATAAATAAATAAAGAGTTTGTTACTTCGATAGAGAAAAGATAAGGAGTATAGTTACATGGGAGATATTTTCTTGGATTTGAAGCAACGTTATCTACTTATTTAGGGAGACAAAGCCGTACTTACCATGTGAATGATTTTCATTTTTCTCTTCATGGTTTTATGGAATTAAATTCTTTCCACATTAAGATTAATTATATTGGGAATAAAATTTCTTAGTTTATATGAATTTTGTTTTTTTCAGAAACTACAAGTTTTAAATATTTCGTTAAAAAACTTCTCTTAATTCCTATTTTGAAAAGGGATGAACTTCTAAATAAGAGTAGACAAGGGCACTACAAAAATAAAATAAAGAGAGACTGAATTATGAATCATGACAATCTAATATTTTCAATTATGCCCAAAAAATATTTCCTTTTGCCTCTGGAATTAGGCTCATTCCTAAGTTATGACCAGTAAAGTCTCGGACATCTTTTTGGAGCTAGAACCCATTCCTTGTTTATGAATGGGCCACCTAATCCTCTTAACAAAGACCACAGCAAAATCGAAAGTCCGTGAAGGCAACACTTGTCACCACATCTTGTGCATATTTGGGGGGTGATTATATGTTGTGGATCATATATAATATGTGGACAATAGGTGAACTGAAATTCTAGATATAGTGAAGTATTTTCAAAATAGTGATTGTAGATCCTACAAAATATGTAGTAAAGGACGATACCTCATTTTTGATAGATTTGTCGAAGCAATAATTCAGTGATCAAAACCTTAAATGTCCTCGTACCTAAAAAGTTATGGCCTATTGATAGTATTTATGTAGATGGTTCACATTCCAAGAATGAGATTGTTCTTTGCGAGCCATATCTTCAACTCTATAGGTACCCGACCACTTCTTTGATGACGTGATAGGGGCCCTCCCAACTGGGGCCAAGGTTATGATGCCAAGATCCTTCAGAGATGAAAGACCTTTCTCAAGACCAGATCTCTAAGATTGAATGACCTTTTATTTATTTTTGAATTGTAGTATCATGTCATTTTCATTTGGTATGCTGCCAATTCGACCTGGGACTCCTTTCGACTGTCATAAAGGAAATCCAGTTGTGTTATCCTCAACTAATTTCGTTGAAATGGATACGATGAGGTGAAGGAACTCCCACCTTCTCTAGGCTCATGGGTTCTGTCCCATAAGGCATTGAGAATGGTGTCTTCCATGTGGCAATTTTGCTAGTGGTCTTCAGGGATGCCATTTATTAAGGAGCTCATTAACCCTCGTACCTTTAGAGACATCAAAGTTTGCGATTTAGGGTCAACTTGATGGTTTTATTGACGGCTTCGATCTGACTTTTGGCTTGGAGGTAGTTGTAGTAGAGAAATGATTCTTAATTCTAAGCTCTATGCAGACTTTCCTATATTTTCTATTTGCAAGCATTATCGAACACAAGGGAGTAGGTAATATGAAATTGACAAATAATATTCTTTCAAATGAAATCGAAGGTGTTAGCCAAGTGCAATAAAATTATTGGTTGTCCCAAAAATTGGAAGTTTGGAAATCAAACACAAGTAGAAGCTCCTACAACAATAGAACCTCTACTACTGGATGAGGACTCTCGAGACACAATCATCTGTTCAAATTTGTGGTCCCATAGTTGAAAAATTCAAGGAACTATTATCATCTTTCAGCAAATTAACTACAATTAACATGAGAAAACATGTTCTTTAGCTCACCATATCATTTGACATATCTCAAAATAGATGAGATCTAGTTCAAACATGGTTAAATGGTGCAATTTGGTGATCTGGGGTTGACATTGGAGATGCCCTTAACAGACACCCTAGAAAGTCAGTGTTATATTGAGCAACTTGCTTGTATTTTATGCAAGGGACAACATCCCACGCACTTCTAGACTTTGTTAGAGTACGAGAAACATTTTATTACGTTTACAAAGTACACTAACCTTCTTTACTTGTAGTTTTGAGTATTATATTCACCGTTTGACTATTTTTTGCCATGTCTCATTTAAAATGCATTTTAAACTAAATTTTACTTTTCTATAATTAGTTGTAGTTAATTTGTTCAAAGCAAAAGTACATAAATATAAATTGACAAGTTATGTATATTCCTTGTTTGACATAATTTATATCAATGTTATATAAATTGACTCTTTTTTTGTTTATAAATAGCTTTACTCTTCTAAATATGTAAGTTTAGATTAATTTTATACACATACATTGTATTCAATTTAACAAAATAATTATTCACAGAGATGATATCAGAAACACCATTTACCTTTATATCAATATCATATACACTCCACGCATTTAAAAAAATCACATTAACTTGCTTTATTTCTTGGTTTGAGTATAACATTCATCATCTAATAACTTTTTTAGTTTTTCTCATAAGTTAATATAACTAAACGGGCATGATGAACTACAGAACAAGTTTTTTTAACAGTTAATTGTAGTTAATTTGCTCAAAGATGATAATAATTTCTTAAATTGCTCAACCATGAGATCAGGAATTTGAACTGAAGATTGTGTTATAAAGGATACTAGAGAGCCCTTGTCTTCTTGTAAAGGTTTTCTTGTTATAGGATCTTCTACTTTTGTTTAATTTTAAAACTTCCAATTTTAGGATATATAACAATTTTATACCACTTGGATAACATCTCGAATTTCATTATGAAATTTATTATGAGTCAATTCGATATTTTCCACTTGTCTTTGATGATGGCAGGCTATTTGACAATAGAAAATTTTGAAAACTCTACGGAGTTCATAGAATTAAAAAGCATTTCTCTACTCCACACTACCTCCAAGCCAACAGCCAAGTCAAGGCAATCGACAAATTATCAAGTTCACCTCAAGAACAAAATTGAGCTTCCAAGATCAGTTAGTGGGTTGACGAGCTCCCTCGTATATTATGGTCCCTAAAGACTCTCTAGAAAGACTGCTACAAGTATCACTGACTTACTGGATAGAAATCATGAGCCCGATGGGGGTGGGACTTCCTTCACCTTGCCACCTCCATTTCAACGTAATTACTAATAATTAGTTGAGTGGAGCACTACTAAATATCTTTGTGAATGTCAAGATGGGTCCCTCATCAAATTGACAACATATCAAAGGGAAATGACACGTTACTAAAGGGGGGGGGGGGGTCATTCCATCTAGAGGATCTAGTCATGAGAAAGGTCATTCATTTTTAAGGAATGTTCACATCAAAATGCTTGGCTCCAATTGAGAGGTCATCTATCGTGTCATTGAAAAAGTGCTCCAAGGGACCTATAGAATCGAAGATACGGCAGGCGGGAGCATCGTCATCCTTTGGCAATATGGAGCACCTACAAAAAAAAAAAAAAAAAAAAAAAAAAATCAGTTGGTCATGTATATGTTGTATATTAGGCTGGATGCGATTAATTCCCTAACATGTAAATATCCTTTACGATTTAATCAAGACAGTATCGAGCCCGAGGGGTAAATTTGAGTTATTTTGCATCTCAAAAGCCTTGGTAGGAGAATCTTTGAGGTTAGGACCGCTCAATTATCTCTTCGACCTAGGGGAGCTACTTACCTACTGAAAAAGGAATATTGTCCTTAACTACATATTTTGTAGAATCTAAAATCACCATTGTGGAGATTATCGATTATATCTATAATTTTCATTCACTTATTGCCCATGTATTCTTTATGATCCAGAACTTCTAACCGTTCCCCAAATGTACACAAGATGTGATTTTGGTTGGACAAGTCTTGCCTTCTGGGCCTTTTGGGCATACGGTTTACTTTATTAAACGGATTAGGTGGCGCATATATACCCGTATTAGCTCCAAAAGATGTCCGAGACTTTCTTGGTCATAACTAGGCAATGGGCATCAATCACGAGGCACAAATAATTATTTTTTGGATAAATGAACCCTTGTCTACTCTTGTTTAGAAGTTCAACCCTTAAAAAAATAAAAAAATAATAAAAATAAAAAATCTTTTAAAGAAATATCTAAAACTTGAAATGTAGTTTACTTAATAAAAAATACAATCAAATTATTATAATTGGGTTATTGGTCAAATGTTCTCTTTAATGTTGAATCTTGCTCCCTGTCCCGGCTTGGGGACAAGGTTAAAAACAGGAGCACCACATGGCGTCCATGTTTTTAAACCTGTCCCCAAACCGGGACCGGGGTTTTATCCTTTAATGTTTCTTGTTCCTAGAATCAACATTGGGACCCAAAAAAAAGCATAATGGCTATAGTCTCGGAAGCAATAAAAAAAAAAATAAAGGAAAATTGCAGTATCGATCACCAAGCTTAATAAATTGTTACTTCTGGCTTCTTAAATTTCAAAAAAGTTCAAGCCAGTCCTAAAAATTAATTTGGTTGCATGGTTAAATGGTTGGGAACAAAGTTGTCATAAGTGATAAAGGTTGGGGATTATTTCCGTAATTTCCTTAAAAAATAAAGATGTGAAGATAGATTGCTCTATGTCAATGCACATAATTTTGAAATTTTTC